CTGGCACAGCTTCAGATGAATCCAGCTCGGGGAGTTCGCGGGGATGGCCACAGTAAATTACTTACAGGTCTGACAACAGAGGCAAACTGCCAGAGAACCCTGAAACAGTCAAGAGAAAACGAGCTGCTGTGAAAAGTTCAGTTATGTAGCCCAGGAAAACCGCCCTGAATTCCAACATTTAGCTGTTGCCAAAGTTTAAGTGGAGGATTTCAGCCATACACACACACACACACACACACACACACACATATACACATATATATATAAAATGAGGTTAACAGGCCAGTTAGAATGGTGTTTAGAAACTCTTTTATGGGGGCTTTTATGCTAGCACAACAGGTAGGGCGGCCAGGCGATGTCTAGCAGTCATCAACAGTCACAAGCAGCGATGTCGCAGGTGACGTTTCTTTGCAAAGTGAATGTATATGAAACTACCATAAACTATAACCTTTGGAGTGCACTACAAGCCAAACGGTGCGCTCAGAATCATTCAGTTTATGGCCCATATTGTAATCTTGCTGCATGCTGTGGGAAATACCAGACAACAAGCATAAATAAGCCACAGCATCACAAACCACAAGAACGAGTGCACCATATCTGATACATGTGTTTACATCATTAAATCAGGTTCTGTCTGTACTGCATGCTATCATAATTCATTTTTATAATACTGAGTTCCAATGTAACCTTAACGGAAAGTAGCAAATACAGCTCCAAATTCGATACCAAGAACCTCTGAGCAAATATGTATATAGTGTTTTTCTCAGTCACTTTGGTGCATTTCTCAAATCAACCTTGATATTTGCAAAACACCAAGAGAATTTCTCCAAACTGTTCAAACAAACGGCACCACACAATGGGTTGATTGCCTGCAAAGGTGCTTCACTTGCTCAAAATCCTTAGTTTATCTTTCAAAAGTAAATATTTATGTCAATGAACGTGGCAGTGCATCAGAATGACAAGTCCCTGTGTCGTCGTTTACAGTCAGAAAGCTTCGTCATGTTGTCAATATAACTGCGTACTCTAAGGATTCTCTGATGTCGACTGTGGCTCAGGTTTTGATGACAGTGACTGAAAATACACAAGGCTGCACTTGTTCCGTATGGCATGTATCAATTTCAGCAGTACCAGGTTTCACATTACTGTATGTGGGAGATTTATTGAAAAACACTGGACAGATTCACATTTACCGTTTTTACCGTCACTGATACAGAAAGTGTTTTACAGCACAAAGGAAAAGTCACAACATGGGGAATGTGTGAAGCATTAGATCAGCCAAAGATCAACCAGAACTTCACAGTAAAGCATCTCAGAGGTGCATCTCATGAACCTTCAGCTGGCAGAGCACAGCAGTGTTACAGCTTCTGACAGTGGAAAAACAACTACAATATATGTTGATCAGCATGGCAAACAACCAATCATGTAGGAAACAGCAGACAACTGAACAACTTAAAAGCTGCTCAGAACAAGAAACAGCTTCTATGATGTGCACAAGTGACTGGACAATGTGGAGGTGAGCAAGTAGTTTGGAGAATTTCATTTGTGATCCGAGAAGTGACTAAAGCGACTGAGAAATCTGTAAAGTGGCATTATTTCTTCCACATGGTCGCTGTGTGTGCCAGTTAGTGCATTTATCACAACAAGAGCCTCGTCCTGGGATCTGACCACAGCACTGCCTGAATCAGTGGCCACATCCAGCTTAGCAGACACTCTGGGGAGGAGATTCTTTAAAGGCAGCCGCAACATTTTAGGCTTACAAAGCTCTCACAGATCTTCAGTGACAGTGACTGTTAAAGGTAAATAATGGTTGTAATGCGCTCTCTGAGGGAACAGAGGTAATGCTCAGTCTGGGTTTAAAAGATCTGCAACACATTTCTGTTCTGTATAAGCCGCTTTACAATAAGAAATAAAAGCGTCTTGAAGATGATACTACTCTGTGAAACCATCATAGCTATAGTACGGTTAAAGTGACTGATGCTGGTGAATCATTCCTATTAAATCAACCATAATGCACCTGACAATAATGTAAAACTAGGAATAAAGTTCAATACGAGCTGTATTTAAATACCTCAGTTTAGTTGAATACATCCCATTTCAATTAAACTACCATTCGACCTGCGAGCAGACAGTTCTACTGATAAATCACAGGTTACAGAATAAGGTCACGTATTAAAAAACATTAGGACACTGGGACAGCATCTTTGAAAGTTGCAAAATACTGGATTTTTTTGTGCAGGTCAAAGCACTTCACTGTGTAGATGTGTCCCAATCACACAATGTTTTTCTACTGACACTTGGTCTGGATTCACTACATCTCACTTCTACACATTTCAGCAACCAACAAACAGACCTGTCCCACTAAAGAAATCACTTCTACTCAGTGACATGGGTTAGGGTTAGATCACTGAATGGGCCTAGGGGTCTGAGAGGTCGGACAACAAACAGACGCAGAACAACCACAAAACAGACTCAAAGTGACCACAAAGAGATTCAAGGGGACTACAAAGAACAAAACAATGACCATTAAGAGACACAAAGGGGCTGAAAAGACACAGCACTATCAATGCTATGAGATGCAAAACAATCACAGAAAGATGCAAGACTACCCGGTACCTTAAAAAGACACAGAACAACTATAAAGAAACACAAATCAACTGATGGTCCTATATAGGAGGGCTGGGAGGCCTTTTACCTGACTGTACCCAGGGACCCATTTTATCATAAAACATCAATGGATTGCACTGAACTTTACTCACCTTCCGAGGTAGGGGCTCCTGAACAGATGAAGTTAAAGTGAGTCAGAGCAGCCAGAATAAATTCCTGTGTGGAAAAAGATCAAATGTTTACCAAGGCAGACAACCAGACAACTGTGACAAATAATCATTGTATAACAAATTATGTGTCAGACAGCATCCATAGTAAACTGTACCTTTTATATAACTAAGGCAAATCTTCTAACAAAAAAAAAAAAAAAAAAAAAAAACACACCAAATACTGTAAATGACATGGTAGAAGGCCTTGATATGAATCATACTGTGCCGCTAGTTTCTTCTTGAACCATCTGACCTTCGTGGGAAAAAAAAGCATCACTTTGTGCAGAATGTTACTGATGTCATCAGAACCAAAACACCAGGTACAGCAGCCTGCAGCAACACAGGCGGGAGATGCAGCACATGCACCGAGTGCCTCTTTGTAAGTCACCGGGGGATCAGCTTGTAAAAAAACTACTGGAGGGATTCTGGAGTACTCGGGGTGTGGTGTATGATAATAAAATTAATGTATAGACTTTTTGATTTGATTTATTCTTTCAAGCATATAAAACAATTGATATAACAACACACATTTTTACACACAATCCAATATCAATTTGCTTATACCTAGTACATGCTTGAATGGAGTAGGAAGAAGTCAGACTTATCCAGTCCTACCCCATGACATCATCTTCCCATCATTGGTTTGCAAGCAATAAATGATTCACTTCTGCACACACACACA